CTGTTCTATCTTCATAAAATAATTCTCAGCGGTATCAACACATTTCACATGCCACTGATTAAATCTTGAATATTCATGCATGCATTAAGAAGCCTTCTGTTGCTATGGTGGAACCTAATACCATAAATGTGTCCCAGCCTCTCTGTAGGGAGAAGAATAGTGTGCTAAAATTAAATCAAAGCTGTTGCTTATCAATAAGAACAACCAGGAAGAGAAAGAAGAAAGATTGCCCTGGAAATATTATATTTCCCAATGAAATATTAATGTTTCATGGGCCTGCGGCCTGGAGAGACCAACAGTCAAGCAGAATGAGTGTCTTTAGATCTCAAGCATCCACTGCATGTACAAGTGCCCTTGTTTGCTTGGGTAACGAGACAACAGGATTCCAGAATGACAGGAGCAGAGGGAAATGAAGCAAGATTGCCCACCGAGGAGGCCAGCATAAAGAATAGCAAGTGCTGCCCTAAGTAGATAAACACAGCGGAAAAGAGCTGTGCTTTCATGGTGGGCCTGGTTAGAAGGGAAGCACTTACTGACCCTTTAGAGTAGAATCACAGAAATTAAGAACAGCTATAGGTGGACGTTTCTCCATCTTGGCACTCTCAACACATTTGAGTTGGATAAATCTTTTTTGTTGGGGCTGCAAATTCTCAGGCCCTACTCCAGACCTACGGAACTATAAAGTGAGAATTGGGCCATCCCCCCACCTGATTCTGAGGTTGGCTAAAGTTTGAGAAATAGTAACCTACTCAGCTCCCCCATTTTACAATTCAAGAACCACAAGATTGGTGAAGTAGTGCCTACCCAAGACCCAACTGCTGATTACCAGCCAAAGCAGTTCACCATATCTCCTTCTCCAGAGAGTTTACTACGAGTGGCCTGGCAGGACGAGGTGGATATTCTGCAGGGATAGTTCATCCCAGCACCAACCATGGGAATGACATGGGAAACATCCTGTTGCACAGCTGGAAACAGTCCAAGGCTGGCTGAATATGCTCCTCAAATGTGGTCTCCTAGATTCCCACATTCCCTAAGCTTTCATGCAGAACACGTCACTTTTATTGACATCATTTTTCTAAATACATGTTAATAAACGGTTAGTTTAGAATGAGACTGCGTTAGTGTGTTGTGTCTTCTTGACTGTTATCACTAGATCCCTATTTTATTAGGCAATCACTTGGAGTTAGAAGGGGCCTTATTTTTACAAGCATGCTGTTATTGATGTGGGTAGATATATGTTGATTTAAGATTTTAAACCTTCCTGTGAGGTTGACTGGAGTAGCAAGCAGTTTGCATATGTTAGAAGATAAAAAAATGTTCAAACCTACGTATTGGAGAGATCTTTTCTTAATTGCTTATTTAAAAAAAAAAAATACGTTCCTGTGCAAAAATAATTTTTATGCTAGTAAATGAATACAAAAATATCAAATGAAAAGTAAACCGTGCTTATTTGCCCAGTGTTTTTGCTCTTTTTAATAAAAGATAGGTGCAACCTCCCCCCCTCACCCCCCACATTTCTCTGCCCATAACATCTGGGTTAATTCTGTGGGAATGAAGGCCTCTAAGTCCAAAGGAGCATTGTGAGGCCAAGTTGCTTTGCATGGGAAAGTGAATGAGCAGGGCAAGGCTGGTGAGGCACATCTGTAGGAGGACTGTATGTGGGTCCAGATTGCCTGAGGGGCCCACGAAGGGGAAAGTCACAGTCAAAACAGGTCTGCCTGCTGTTGCTGTGACCCACAGAGGACGTTCCAGGCCGGATTTATGCCAAGAAACTCTTTAGAGATTATATATTTTATTTCCCCTCTTAGTCTTATTTGTGCAATTTCTGGGAATAACCCTGCAGATATGAGTACCTATTTGTACTCAGGTACTCAAGCATGTTAAAATAAAATGATACGGTTGTAATTGATTTATGGCTATTGTTATTTAAATGACCATCCTTTGAAATGTCACTGCACTGAGAGGTAATAGTCAACATTTTGTTGACTGTCATTTTACAGCTCTCCCTATGCAGGCACACACACGTAGACAGTTTTACATGAACAAAGTCATATGCCTGATGATTCATAATGAACACCTATCATCCATCTCTAGTCTTTTTTCCTACTTGCATTTTCTTTCTAATCACCCTCATCCCTAAGATAGGCAGCCTTGAAAGTTTAATGTATTTCCTTCCAAATAGTTTTTCTACTGTAAGCAATAAAAAAAAATAGTTTTTCATTGTAGGAATATATATATATATATATATATATATATATATATATATTAGTAAAGTAATGTATAAAGTAAAATAATAATTATGTATAATTATTATTATATCCAACACATAGAACATGACCAAGTATTTGGAAGAGCACCTGAAACATAGATGCTCAATAAATACTTGTTGAATTAATTACTGATTTGCTTTATAAAATGGGATAATTAAATATGTATATATAACTATTATATAATTTTTAATGTAATTATAGTTATGTATATAATTATCCCATCTTTCTGTATCTGGCTTTCATCACTCAATGCCCCTAGGTAATCTCTCCATATATATTTAATTCTTATGAATAGTTGCATAATATCTCACAATCATGAAGGTCACATCAATTTACTTAACTGTATCTCTAATTGATAGTCAAGATGCTTTTATTTTTTGCCATATAATATAAATAGCTAATATCTACCAAGTGTGTTCCATATGTAAATCACTTTTTTAAAGCAATTTACATGTATAAAGTCACTGAGTTAAAGTTATTCTCTCCATTGTAGGAAACTGAATAGGGGTGGGTGAAAATTTGCCCAGGCCTACATAGCCAGGAGGCTCTAAACTATCAGTGTGGCTCCAAAGTACCTTTCACTGAACTACTTCTTTTTGTTGTTGTTGTTAACCTTCAACTGAGGATATTTTTTCATCGAGAGAGAGAGAGAGAGAGAGAGAGAGAGAGAGAGAGAGAGAGAGAGAGAAACATTGAGTGAAAGAGACATATGGATTAGTTGCCCCCCACATGAGCCTGGACCAGAACTGGGGATTGAGCCTGAAACTGAGGTACATGCCCTTGACCAGAATCAAACCTTGCACCCTTCAGTCTGTGGCTGATGCTCTATCCCCTGAACCAAACCAACTAGGGCCTGAACTACTTCTATACAAGACAGAAATCAACAAAATTGTATATACGTCCTAATGGAATGGTGCTTTATTTCTAGTTGACAGTTTTCCAGCAACAACATGATTATGGAAGGATATATATATTTTTATATTGATAGATTACTTTGCAAAAAGACAGTAACAGTTTACATTTCTACCAGACTGTCTAAGGCTTCTCTTTCCGCCAGCAGATTATCATTAAAAAATATTTTTATTATTTCTTTTTTGCCAATCTGGTGGGTGAAAAGTGGTGTTGTTATATCTCTATGCTTTTCTGACAGTGTAATATGTTTATCAACCATTTGGATTTGCTCTTTATTGGTCAGGGTTCTCCAGAGAAACAATAGAGAGAGAGTATATTCACATGATTATGGGGCCTGGAAAGTTCAAAATCTGCAGGGTGGGCCAGCAGGCTGGAGACCCAGAGACCTGGTGCTGTTGCAGCTGAAATCCCAAAACTATGAGGCTAAACACCCAGCCCTCCTTGTACCAGAGCTACTAATGGTCAGACTGCCTGGATTTGAAGTCTATCTCACTACTAGGTTTTTCTGGGAACATTGAAGGAATTGCTTCTCACTTTATAACTTTCATCTGCTATTTGTTCTATTATAGGGATTTGTAATTTTTTTTTTTTTTAGCAAATTGTAAGAATATTGGGATAAAATCACTGTCTATAAGATACAGGATAAAAGCAAAAATCTTAACATAATCATGTCTTGGGATCTTCTGTCCCTAAGTAACAATTTGTTTTCTACACATACCGCCTAAGAATCTTTTATAGACGATAAAATCCACAAGGGTGGATTTCAGACCATTCTTTTCCCATTTCACTGAAGAGAGGAATTCAGCCTATCAAAGACTTCTTCTATTTGTGCTGCACAAAACATTTTAAATGGCGAGCAACAAGACCAATCATCAAAAGAATGGTCTTATCTGTAGCGAGTCTAAGAACTTTTAGATTCCTCGAAGCGTAAAGATTTGTAGTAGTGATGAACCTCACCTCTTGAAGTCAGCTAATATGCAGTGTAGGGGTAGCCTGGGGTCAGTGTGGGAAATCTTCCAGTGGTTCTCAACCTTCCTAATGCTGCGACCCTTTAATACAGTTCCTCATGTTGTGGTGACCACCAACCACAAAATTATTTTCGTTGCTACTTCATAACTGTAATTTTGCTACTGTTATGAATCGTAATGTAAATATCTGATATGCAGGATGTATTTTCAGGGGCAGCGACCCCAGATTGAGAACCGCTGGGCTGAAGTGAATACTTCAGACGTGATTCGTAGTTACTGTCCTGTTGACTTAGAGATATATCAAGACCCTAGAAAATCACCATCAGAAACAAGGACTTTGAAAACTTACCTTCCATAAAAAGTATCAATCTTGCTTTGTTTTAACTTTAGTTTCTCACTTTATAACATTGGATTTAAGGACTAGATATATGCACATAACATACCTTGTACAAAATAATCTCATAATAAGTGCGAGTTATTACTGTCACTTCCTGCCATTGAGATCCATATATTCTCATATTAGTACCTTCTCCTCGCCAAACACCTATGAGACTATCATATATTTATCAGAGGAGTGACATCAGTGATAGTCACTTAGCACTCTGCGGCCAAACCCTGGAGTCCGTCCTCTGGGGTGGGACTCTGAGGCCGTGGGAAAAATACAGAAGGAACCCGTCTCCAACTTACAATGCTAAACTACAATTCCCAGCATGCAGGCAAACTCCGTGGTTTCGGTGCACCCTGAAAAAGAAGTCCCTGACTCTCCATTGGCAGCATGAGAAGCGCTATAGTTTACACAAATCCGCGGGTTCTAGCGAGGGCACGCAGGGAGACTGCGCAGATCTCCTCGTCTGAGTTCTATGGCACTCATTGTGAGTACCGGGACTTTAGCCGGAAGGATTTAAGAACCGTTCCACTTCCGGTAACGCCGGAAGCAGTTCCAAGATGGCGACCTCCATAGCGCCTGGGAAGAGTGGATTTCGTAACCAGAAGCAGAAGAACCGAGGTAAGGTGGTGTGAGCACCGTAGCCCGGTGTGGAGGTTCAGTTGCGATGGTGTGACGCCGCCTCGGGTCTGTTCTCTGAAGTTGAGTCGCTATTAAGAGCTGCTTTTTAGGGGTATTGGCCGGGCCTGCGGAACCGTCTGGCGCAGGGGTCCTCAAACTACGGCCCGCGGGCCACATGCAAATACAAATATTGTATTTGTTCCCGTTTTGTTTTTTTACTTCAAAATAAGATATGTGCAGTGTGCATAGGAATTTGTTCATAGTTTTTTTAAAACTATAGTCCGGCCCTCCAACGGTCTGAGGGACAGTGAACTGGCCCCCTGTTTAAAAAGTTTGAGGACCCCTGCTCTATGGTGTCGGTCACGTGTTCCTAATCGCTTCTGCTAAAGGCTCCCAGAGCGCAGGTGTTGCGGACTTCTCTTTGGTAAAATGATGACTAAGAAATTGCGGAGGGCACACCTTAGACGCAGCGATGGCCAAATGAGGGATGCCGTGGGTGTAGGAGAGCGTTTGTATTTGAGTTAGGGCTGATGGTAAAGGACACAGACATGGGTGAGGACATTCAGATTCAGCAGGTCTGGGCTGGAGGCCAACAACTGCATTTCTAACACCTGCAGTTTATGCTCATGCCTATGAACCATATCTTTGAGTCGTATGGATATAAGTTATAGCTATTGGATTTAAGAGGTTCCTAACACCCAGGAGTTTTAATAAATGATATGAAAGATAATTTGTGGCCCGTCAGAAGCATTTTGTTTTAATGAAAGGAGTACCTTTATGTCCCCTTAGGCAACTCACTAATCTTTTTAGACTGAATGTCTTCTATAAAGTGGGAAAAATAATAGTGGTTCTTCCTACCTTTCATAGTTGTTATGAAGAGTATACAGAAATAAGGCTCATGAAAACGATATAGGAAACCTGAAACCCTATGCCAGTGATTATTAACTGAAAGTGTACACCAGGGTATCAGCTTTTTTAAAAATATATATATTTTTTAAATTGATGTCAGAGAGGAAAGGAGAGAGAGGTAGAAACATCAGTGATGAAAAAGAATCATTGATCAGCTGCCTCCCGCAGGGGGATCCAGCCTGCAACCGGGTATGTGCCCTGACCGGAATCGAACTGTGACCTTCTGGTTCATGGGTTGATGCTCAACCACTGAGCCAAGCCAGCCAGGCCAGAGAATTAGCTTTTAAAAATTTTATGCACCTGCATAAACATGCAAACATAGTATATACACACACATACTCAATCTTCACTGCAGGAAAAGTTGAAAGGTTACTTACATTTAGAATCGCCTTGTAAACAAAATGGTATTTGAGTCTTCAGCTCTGACATGGTGTGGTGCAGTGGGAGTTACTTGAGTACCACTGTCAGGTGTATACTAATTAGTGTGGATCCAAGTTGGGTCCTCGCCCTTCAGGCACTTTGCTTTATGCAGCCACGGAAATGTGTACAAGTAGTTTTAATAGTGTGTTGGTAATGATGGAGGCCTGTTCTTTGACTGCTGAGTAATCTAAAAAGCATAGGAAAAGGAAATGCAAAGGGAACTTTGGAAGCTTGTAAATGTATGCGTATAAATGTCCAAAAGTAGGCTAAAATATGATGTGTAATTTTTTCCTGTAGATGAGTCAGAGCTCCTCACTGTACCTGATGGTTGGGGGGATCCAGCTTTTTCCAGAGGACAAACGCAGAGGACTCTTGGGAAGCAGTTTTGCATCTCTGTTCCCAAATACAGAGATTGGCAAAAGTAGGCTCACGGTTTTCATATGGAAAAAGACATGCAGGTTATGATTATTACAATAGCTTTATTAACTCAAAAGAATGTCACAATGAACTGTAAACTTACCCCTGTATAGAGAGGCTTACTTGAAAGAGTGCTGGCCGTTGGTACAGAAAGCCTTGACTGAACATGTATGCACATTTTATGTATTTCTTTGAGATTTTGCTCTGCTGATACCTTTACTTTTAAGTAAGTATTGTATGCTGGTAGATTTTTTTAAAATATATTTTTTATTGATTTCAGAGAGGAAGGGGGAGGGAGGGGGGGGGGGGGAGAGAGAGAGAGAGAGAGAGAGAGAGAGAGAGAGAGAGAGATGAGAGAATCATTGATCAGTTGCCTCCTGCTTGCCCCGTACTGGGGATAGAGCCTGCAACCTGGGCATGTGTCCTGACTGGAATTGAACCATGATTTCTTGGTTCATAGGTTGATGCTCATCTGGCTGGGCTCTCTCTCTCTCTCTCTCTCTCTCTCTCTCTCTCTCTCTCTCTCTCTCTCTTTGGTAAACTCATAGTGATCCAGCCTTATGTTGAATAGTTTATCACTCAGTATATTGAAATATTCTTCAGAATATGTTCACATGTCAAAAAATAGCATTTTTATTTGCTTTCTTGAAATCTGGTTCTTTGTACTGAGAGTTGATGCATAATTTTCCAATTATTGCTTCTTTTCGAACTTATGATAATTTGTTTTTACTTTGTATTTAGCTAACAGAAACCAGCTTGAAAAAAAGTTGGAAAGGGAAGTCTATTCTCACCCTAAGGATAAGATGGTGGATTTGAGTTAGGTCCAGGATAGGGAAGCCATATAGCTTTGCATTTTTACCTTAGATGTTAAATATGGCCTCATATGGATATGGAGATATATATATATTTTAACTAGAGATAATATTTATTGCCCTAACCAGTTTGGCTCAGTGGATAGAGTGTCGGCCTGCGGACTGAAGGGTCCCAGGTTCGATTCCAGTCAAGGGCATGTACCTTGGTTGCGGGCACATCCCCAGTAGGGGGCATGCAGGAGGCAGCTGATCGATGTTTCTCTCTCATCGATGTTTCTAACTATCCCTCTCCTTTCCTCTCTGTAAAAAAATCAATAAAATATATATTTTAAAAATATATTTATTATGTTAAGTACAAAGTATTCTAAAATCAAGTAAGTATAATGGTTTCAATTGCCTGACTTTCTATATTCTCGTATGAAGATAATCAAGCATTCTTTATATTAACTGCCCAGCTTCTTCAACGAGGGAGTTGATAGAATTTTAGAGAGAGATTAATCCATAGTAATTAATGGTTAGATTGGGATAGGCTATATAAGTATCTAAACTGAATTCATTTTTAGGCGGTTGCTTGTTTGCTCTTTTCTTTTTGTAGCATGTTAATGCAACCCTGGACCTGATCAAGGGCCTCATGACTGTACAACAAAGAAGACTTTTGATCCATACATCATCACTAGGGTCAGAGACCTAATAAAACTATTAGCAAGGAGTGTTTCATTTGAGCAGGTAAATTTACAGTTACAGAGATTCTGCTTTATTTGTGCCATTAGAGATGATATAGCACTGCTTCTATCCATCCCTTCCCTTCCTCCATAGAGTTTTCATTATTCTGCTTAGATATCAGTGTGGGCTTTGAAAAAAAAAGTATTTGTAAAGACTATCGGTTGAATATTTCTTTGTTTTTTTTCAAAAGGCAGTATGAATTCTTCAGAATGGGGTTGCATGCGATATCATTAAGTTGTTTAGTAAGAAGTAAAAAAAGATTTGTAAAAAGAGGATCATGGCTTATTGGTCCCAAAGGATCTACAGTGAAGGTACTTTTTATCAGTAGAAAACTTGAGTATCTTCTTTGTCATTAGTTTTTCAGTGTATTTCAACTGAATTTCAACTTATTGTTCTTTTGATGTAGGCATTGGAACTCTTAACAAACTGTTGAATTATGGTTCAAAGAAACACGGTATCAGCCATTGGACTTTTTAGTGTCTTTAAAGAGGTGAGAACGACTTACTATATTTAGTTAATTTTTAGCAGAGAACAAATTAAATAACTTGGTTATTTTTTTTTAATGATTGTATTGTTTTAGAATGTGCTTTGCTTGATTTCTCATTAGTAAATGCTTTATACTTCATGGAATTTGAGGGAGCCATTGCTCCTGGACCCTAACATATTATGGCCAACCTTTGACAATTACAGACATCCATTTCTCAATTAGAGTCTGTACATCATCACTCCTTCCACTACACATTTTAGTTACATGTGCTCAAATATAGTGACTGAACAGATGATGTTATTTGCAGGAATGTATACAGCCAGTTGAGGTCAAATTCAAATTTTCTTTTGTTTGAATTTATTATAATGTTTTCATGAACATTTATTTTAACTTGTTATGAGGAAATCTGCCGAGCAGATACTGTTCTAATTGGCTCCCTTTGATGCTGCTGTCTGGATCTGGCTGTGAGGTCTTGCTTCTTCCTTTCCAGGGCCTTTAATAGAACTCTCTTGGACTTCCTTCTTAGAAATGGTCTGCCCTTTTCTTGTGGGACAACAATAACTTAAATACATTGAATACGTTGTAATTCTATAAAGTGTAAATACGTTACTCAGTTCTTACAACAAATCCTTGAGGTATCTTCATTTCTGCAATGCAAATGAGAAAGCTGGAAGAGGAAAATTAAGTGTCTTTTCCATATAAAGTGGCAGTCCCATTATTTGAGCCCACATATTCTGACTCTGAATCCTGCTCTCTTCCCTCTAAATTGCAGTTGCAGAGTGTTACACTCGTTCTATATGTCACATTTTCGCAGTACAATTGAGTAACATCATTGTACTCAAGGTTGACTATTATGAAAGATCTAGCAGCCACTAAAAGCAGTTGAAGGAACTATTATATTCAATTGGCAGCCACTGCCTGGTTTGTAGGATATTTTGCAATATAGTAATCCCTTTCTACCTTCTGCCTGGCTAATTAAAATCTTTAAAAGTGACTACTTCATTTTTCTTTGCAAATTTCCGGTTTATTTTAGATTATATTGAACCTTTTCTTTTTTTAATTTAACACTCAGATTATTTATGTTAGCCTTTTGAGAGAAATATATCCCTGTGTGCAAAGTTCATGACTGTTTTTGGAAATGTAACCATGGTATACTGAGCTGTTTTATTTATGACAGGTATTTGTTGAACAGTCCAGTTAAATTAGATGATGTTATGGTAAGTTTAAAAGTCTCTATTAGACTGATGTGAAAAAACAATTTTGAGTTACTTTGGTATATTAAAGATAAAGAGAGCTAGTCATGCATCTGATGCCTGTTTTGCATCCTCTTGTGTACCAATGTCTATAAAATTCAAATGGCATTGATTAGGTGGTTGAGTTCTGTTAAAAGGACCTGTAAATACTATCAGATTATTATTTTTATTACCATTTTTATGGGGTATTAAGTGAAGTATATTTTGACCTATAATTTCCTGATTAGTTAATTAAATTAATGAAGCTGGAAAGACTATATGTAATATTCTTCATGAAATGTAATTTTGCCCTGGCCAGGTAGCTCAGTTTTTAGAGCATCATCCCGATAACACCAAAGTTATGGGTTCAAATCCCAGTCAGGGTACATACATATAAGAATCAACCAATGAATGCATAAATAAGTGGAACACCAAATAGATGTTTCTCTCTATATATCTCTGTCTCTATCCCTTTCTCTATCTCTCTCATCAATAATAAACATTTTTAAAAATTTAATTTTTAATTATTTTAGCATGCGAGATGGAAAATTGGCATATTAATGAGTACGTTAAGGTACCAAAATGTAGAAAAGAATATAAGTAAAAATAATATGATTTCAAGTGTGATTTAAGGGGAAAAATGTAGTTGAATCCAGTTAAATCCAGTAGTTGGTTCAGGTAGCTAAATTATAATGCCATTTTTATGTATATGTTCACTAATGTATTTTTAAAGTATTATTATTATTTTCTCTTAAAGACATTTCTAACTTTAGGCTGATGGCAAGTGCTTTATATTTTATAACACTAACTTCCAATTATATCAGTATTCTGAAATTAATTGTACTAAATATATATTCCTTATGTTTCACTTGGTTAAATCTAAAGAAATACACATATTGTGTTTTTTATTTGTCTAGCTTCTATTGAAACTAAAATTGACGTGGCTGCCATCAAGGAAAAGGTTAAGAAAGCAAAGATTAAGAAACTGTGAGCTCTCACAGCTGAAGAAGTTAAGCTTAAGATGGAAGCAGATGAGAAGAAAGAAAAGTAATACACACACACACATACACACACAACCTGAACTAGAACCTACTAAGCTATCTCTTTTTATAAAGGACTTTGAGATACTAGGGCATTAGTTGTCTTATGTGTAAGAAGTAATATTCTAATTATTTTTTTTCTGAATGTGTTTTTCTTTATGAGAGTATTTATATGTATGGCTATTCTTTATAAATATAAATTATTGTATTCTCCATGTGCTTTTTGAACAATGTACTAGAGAGCGGTATATATGTCTTTATGTACATTGCACCTAATCTGTTCTAGGCAGGCTTTGTCTAGCATGATTTTAGGAGTAATTAAAAAAAATTCTTTTTTTCTTTCATTTTTTTAATCCTTACCCAAGGATACTTTTCCATTGATTTTTAGGAAGAATGTAAGAGAGAGGGAAAGACAGAGAGAAACATCGATGTGAGAGAAACACATCGATTGGTTGCCTCCTGCAGGAGCTCTGACCAGGGCTCTGGCCGGGGAGGAGCCTGCAAGGGAGGTATGTTTCCTTGACTGGAATCGAACCTGGGACCCTTTGGTCTATAGGCCAAACCGGCCAGGGCTAGGAATAATTCTTTCGTTTGATGTAAATATTTTTGAAATGTGACTGTTGTAATTATCCAACAAATCGAATATCTGATTTGGTTAAATACCTACAACTATGTCCCAGGAAAACAAACCTGTCCCAGGTTTTGAGGAAAACAAATGCAGAGTTTTCAGTGCTCTCTCTGCAGATAACAAACATTTAGGCTTATTCCTTTCTGTAATCTCATTTTATGTTGTGTTCCAAGATTAAACAACTCATAAGCAAAAATAAAAGCAAGGCCTCTTTAAGTCAAATTCCTTAATTACTACTCTATTCTGAATCCAGAAAAGTGATAAACCAAAAATACCTCAAATTGCAACTGGGTAAACAGATTATTTAGAGTTGAATCAGCATGCAGGAGTTATGAAGAAATGTTTATACTCATGAAGGCCTGTTGACTTATTTAGAATTACTGAAATCTAGCTCCCTCATTTTATTTTATTTTTAATATTTTATTGATTTTTTTACAGAGAAGAAGGGAGAGGGATAGAGAGTTAGAAACATCAATGGGAAACATTGATCAGCTGCCTCCTGCACACCCCCTACTGGGGATGTGCCTGCAACCAAGGTACATGCCCTTGACCGGAATCAAACCTGGGACCCTTCAGTCTGCAGGCCGACGCTCTATCCACTGAGCCAAACTGGTTAGGGCTAGCTCCCTCATTTTAGGTTACTTACTCAAAGTCACTGTGGCAGCCTGAAAACAGTGCTTTTTCATAGAAACATGGAAAGTAAAGGTGAGTTTATCCTGTAGAGTGAGGACTTTGAACATTTTGGTTATGGCTTTACTGAAGCAATGTAATTTTTTCTGGAATGTTTTAAACTTAGAATTATACCCAATTGTTATTTTTAAAACATCTTATACAGATGAGTTTTTAAACTTTTTTTAAAAAAATATTTATTTTATTGATTTCAAAGAGGAAGGGAGAGGGAAGGAGGGATAGAAACATCATTGATGAAGGAGAATCACCGATTGGCTGCCTTCTGCACACCCCCTACTGGGGATTGAGCCTGCAACCCCGGGCATGGACCCTGACCAGGAATCAGAACAGTGACCTCTTGGTTGATAGGTCAATGCTTAACCGCCGAGCAACACTGGCCGGGCAAGTCTGTGAACTGTATTTTTCTGGGTTGTATTTGTCCAAAAGAACTAAATGTTTGTACTTGACCAAGATGGTAATAATAGCAGCCAGGATTAATACTAGTGGACTAACAATGAGAAAGAGAGATAGGGCTCTATTACGTAAATATATCGGCCAGTCTGGATACACAATAGAGTAGTAACCTGTGAAACAAACAGAAAATATCCTCTTAAATGTTGTTTTCATAATGCAGTAACACAATTCACAAAGACTTTAATGAAACAGTTAAGATTTATATACATACGTGTGAGTTTGTCTCGCTGTGTGCTAACTGTAAAATCAGAGAGAAAAAAAAATTAAAAGAGTAGGTACTGGGGAGGCTTTTGTTTTATTTTTAAAAACCAAGTTTCTAATTATAACTGCTAACTGTTGCTTTGACTTTATTGCAGTGATTTTCAAAGGTTACTTTTTAAAGATTTTATTGTACTAACTACTCACTTGATATTTTTAAAGCAACTTTTATATAAACTAAAGTTTTTATGTACCACTACTGTAAATGGAAAATCATTTTACATATTATATCTAACAGATAATGAATCCAATTAAAATAAATATTAAAACATTAAATTTTTAAAATAAAAAATATTAGTAATATTGAGTATGAGCAATTTATTAAAATATTTTCCTGAAAATAAGTTCCTCCTTTAGAAAAATGATGCTGTTTATGATCAGTCAGTAAAAGAGAGACAGTTGCCTCTCTCATCCATTTCATTATGTTGGTAAATTACATATAGGAGCATTTGGCAGTCATAGTCATATCTACTCCTCTCTCTTCACTGAGCTTTATTCAGAATTTGACACTGGAGCACTACGAAGAAAACTTTGCATTTGCCTTAGCCTTCTTGATGCTTTTTTTATAGTCAAGACACCTGTTGACACCAATCCCACTCCAGCTGCTATTGGATTCCTGTGGTAGAACCAAAAAGGATCTGGCCCTCTGGGTACCTGTGAGCATCCCTGGTCATCACACCTGGGCTTTTTCTGTGTTCAGTTACTGTGAAGCTGCTAGACTTCACACAGTTTTCAATAGTGGTGGTTCTGAAGTTTAGTTGTAATTTGATGTGGTTGTGGGAGGAAGTGCATATAGCATTTACCTATGCCTTCATCTTGGCTGGAAGCCTGGGCATATTGTTCTAAAATCTATGGTTTTAACTCCTATGCTATACAACCTAACTTGTAAAACATAATAATTTGCTTTGTAGTGTTGTAGCAACATGAAAGGGAAAATTCAGTAAATATATTGATACTCTGAGAAGAGGTTTGTTGCACTTGGACTACACCTTACCAAGTTCTCCTAACAAAACTGATATGAGTAAAATAAAGAATGCTTGAACCAGGGAGAAAGGACTGGCTCAGAAACCTGGTCAATAAAGTGTTACTGTTCTTGGAGGGAAGATGAGAGTTAACTGTTTACATCAGGAGAAAAGGAACGGGCAGTTTAAAATAATTTTGTAATTTTAGACCTGGAAGGGGCCTTAGAAAACATGTAAGCAGCGGAATGCTTTTGCCAAACAAAATTTATGCAGTTAAACTCGGTCCACTCTGCCCTGCCTCTACTAAGAACCTCACCCCAGCCCTGGAACTCTGGGAGTTCAGTGGGTTACAGATGTGGACACTAAAGTACTACACAAAAGGATTTGCACAACTTCAACAGCTTAATTGAGTTTTCCTTTCTTCACATTATAGGAAAAAGAAATGTGTCTGCAAGAGGAACTTATAAATAAACTCTTGGCCAGTTATGAATTATTTCAAAATTACAAAGCAGAATTTTGCTAGGATGTTTAGTAAAACATCCTTGCAGTTATCTTCATTGGCTTTCTACACCATCCTCATTAAAATATTGTTGTTTTGCTCATTTAAGAAGTGCCCCATTACAGCTTCTTTCATTTATTCTACAGACGAAAATGCAGCCTTGAGTGCCTCGAACAAGTAGTATCACAAAATTCAGAATACTGTTCATTTGGATAGTTTCATTATACAAATTTTTGATCTTGCTGAAATTAGCAAATTTTGGGTCTATAGTTTTCAACACCATAGTCATTTTTGTGTTGTACTAATTAGAGCTAAATAAACAGGATACTAATTGCTTCTTTAAATTTATATTAAACATATAGTGCTAAGACAATAATAAGCCATTGGTTTGATTGCAACCTAATAGCTATTCCTGAAAATAGCTATTAGGATAAAACAAAGGTTTGCATTCTTAACTGTAGAAAGTTACAATCGTTTAAACACATTGTATTATGGGTAGATTGTTTAGATTGTTTCTTTTACTCACCGCACAGATTGTCCAAACAATTGTCATTTTGGGGGCAAGCACTGCAAGTGGATCCTTTTTTATATGGCCAAGTGGGGTAATTTCCTCTATAAAGAAGAAGAAAACTGTCCATTAGGAGAGGTTTGTTGTTGTTGTTGTATTACAATTACAATTTACTATGAATCCTTGACTAAACCCATAAGATAGAAGTCCAGATTCAGAGGGTTGATAAGAGAAGTGGAGAGAAGAAAGCAGAACTGGAAGCCTGTTCACATATAGAATTTACTCTGTGTGCCTGTGTCGTTAACCTGTGTCTTGGTCTACATTATTTAATTCTTAACACTACTCAGGGAGGAAAGTATTTTTATTTCTATTTTATAGATAAGGAAACTAAAGCTCTAAGGATTAAGTAGTTTGCAAAAAAAAACACTATATATATGTATGTGTGTGTATACACACCCACACACAAACACACACATCACAATATATGTCAGAGTCAGAACAAAACCCAGATCGCTCTGGCTCCAGGGCAGTGCTCCCTCTGACTGCCTGGCCCATGTGATCACTGTCATCCAAGCAACTGTCCATCTTAGAAAGAGTGGTGTGACCCACATTGACTCCTCCATCCACAAGCCGCCCTGGTGTTTACTGGATGGGAGCCATTTGGCTAGATAAGCACCTAACAAAAGAAAAGACATGGGGGAATTTCTAAGGGGCAGTTTGTTTTTACATAAAAGATGTGATAGGAATAATAGATAATAATTACTGAGTCTTCCTTGTGAGCTAGACACTGTTCTAAGTCCTAATGAATTAACCTCAGCCCGATGAGGAAGATACAGTTATTTATCCCCATTATATAGCTAGAGGCTGAGCACAGAGTGCAAGTAATTGACCGAGGTCACAGAAAGTGAGAGACTATCCAAACATTTTCTATCCCCGTGAAGATCTGCAGAGAAGCAGTGAGGGGCTGTGCGTTTATTTCAGTGAACTTGAAGGTACACTAGACCTTTTTGGAACTCTGCTTTTAGAAAGAAGTTCTTAACTTTTTATGCCTGGGACCCTTTGGTTGCCTGGTGGGGTCTGTGGACTCTCTTAAAATAGTTGTTTTTTAAATGCATAAAATGTTATAGGACTAGTATAAAGGAAACCAATTAAATTGAAAGTTGTCAAAATGGTAAACATTTGTGATATAGTAAAATATACTTCTCTATTAAATAT